TTTGGTTTGACACAACTTTTGTGTATTTGCACGCTAGTCCTTGAACTTTCATTTCCTTTCACTTTGGTCCATTTTCACATATTTCTTCCAAATTACGCTATATCCATCAACTTGCCACCTAAACCAAAATATGAGAATACTAAGTACATTTAGGCATAAAATAGTCATATGAGCGCATTAAATAAAGATGCAAAATGTGTATTTTATATTCCTATCAGTGGCGTAGGGAAAAGGTTAGGCGTATTGGAAGATGGGCTATTTCTGGTGAAGTTTCAATCAATCAAGATTGTAAATGCTTAGAATCTATCCCTTGAGTGTCGTTGTTTTCTGTTAAGGGGAGCATAACGAGGACTTGGTGGTTGATCGTGAGGATATGGTGAAAGAAGAGGTGAAGTGTCTAGGTTAGAATCGTAAGGGAAAAGTAAGCTATTTGGGGCATCATGTGAAAAAATTGGTAAAGCGAAACCAGAATCGGGTTGAGAAGAAACCAAAGGAAATGTGGTTTCGTAAAATTTGACATCTAGACTAACAAAAAAATTTTGTGTCTCCAAATCATAAAGTTTGTAACCCTTTTGACCGGTGGGGTTCCCAATAAAAATGCATGTTTTAGCACATGGTTCAAATTTATGAATGAGATGAACAACAGTTGCATAACATAAACAACCAAAAACTTTCAAATGATTGAGTGATGGTGGACGATTGTGCAAAAGTGCGAAAGGTGATTTGTTGGGTAGCAATGGTGTAGGGAGTTGATCAATGAGATATACATCTGTCAATATGCATTCACCTCAAAAAGTAAGAGGAAGTCGATATTGAAAAAGTAAAGCATGTGCAACAGTTAGAATATGACGATGCTTTCGTTCAACTACTCCATTTTGTTGTGGAGTATAGACACAAGTACGCTGATATTCTATGCCATTTGATTGAAAATAATTTCGCATGGATAGAAATTCAGAGCCATTGTCTACTCGGATGGCTTTAACGAAAGCATGAAATTGAGTATGAACAAAAGTAAGGAAGGATTGTAAAATAGTTTGAGTTTCTAATTTAAAATGCATAAGAAATACCCATGACCATCTTGTAAAATCGTCCACAATAGTGAGAAAGAAACGTGCACCTGAATGTGTAGGAGTTTTGTGAGGACCCCAAATATCACAATGCAATAAATCAAATGGAGCATAAGTTGATATAAAACTGGAAGGAAATGGTAATCTAGTTTGTTTAGCCATAGGACAAACATTACAATTATTATCAAAGGAAACTCTATTATTGGGAGACAATAACGATGATACTAGTTTTAGTCAAGATGGAGACGGATGTCCAAGACGCATGTGCCATAAGTTGGGAGGTTGAGAAACTTGATGAGAGGTATGTGTCCTTTGCAACGGAGACATGTAATAAAGACCACCATGTTGTTTACTCGAGCCAATCAT